CTCATATGATAATGATAAAACTACATCTAATATCAATTGTTGAATCACTAATAATCAAAACACTCCTAACAGTTATTACTCTTAAGACTAAACCTTTTATGTGGTAGAATGTATGGGAATTATCCAAAACTTCTTTTCAAATAAAAGGATGATGGGAAAGTCACACAAACCTGTTTCTCAACAGTTTCCTTCACAGAGTCCTTTACTTTAAAAGCTGTACTAGTTGCAACACTAGCAAAACTGAAAAGGTAGCCTGGAAAAAAAAACATTAAAATTTTGTCAACTTGATTACAAACATGTAGTTTGCAGCTTTTTCCCTTCTTTTTAACTATTTTGAGAAAGATTCCAGGCATTTCTAATGCCTAATTTCCCTTAATATCAAATAATTAATGACCTAGATATCAAAATTAAAAGAAAGGCCACAGTTCAAACCCTGGCTAATACCCAATGCACGGTTTTTGGAGACACTTATATCTTATCAAACATTTTGGTGTGTAGTATTGCTGAGTACGAGTTGTAATGTAATTTGGTGAGCCCACAGGATGAATCAAAATAGAAACAATAAGTAAAAACACTCAGCAACACTACACACCAGAACATGTAATATGGTAAGCTGTTTAGTAACCAACTGCTTTAATTACTTTATATGCATTTCTGATAATGCAGGAAAAGTGAATCAAATTGATAAACAGCTTGTGACAGGTCTTGTTTGTGAATGTACAAAGTACAAAGTACATAGTACAAAAAAACAAACTGTCCCAATAACTGTACAATAGTGGAATTTTTTTATGGGGTTCAGGAGTTATTTGTACTCTACATACCTAATGCAGTTGGATAATAAGTGGTATTACTGGCCTGATAACCCGATAGATTGCCACCTGCCAGTTGTACTGGGTAGTAGCAATAGTCTTGTGTTTTTATACTATGGAAATTAGGATGAGATGCAGCTGTAGTGGACTTTTAAACTGACCTTAAAAACCATCAAGGTTCACTAAACTATACTTACGTAGTGTAAGTTGTTTATTTAGCAGCCGACTTTTTCTTAAATCGTATCAAATTAGGTAGTAAAATCATGAAGTACATTTGGCTAAAATTTCTTTATTCCTGTATCTCCTGACACAAATTTCCCTTTTTCAAATATTTTGAATTAGGTTGTTTACATGATGTGTTTAACCGATTAGGTTTCTCAATCAATATATAATTTATTTTTTTTTTCACTAGAAGCGAAACCTCGAATGCTTCTGTTTGCATACACCCTTTTAAACATCATTAGTAAATTACGTTGTGACCTTGAAAAACAATACTAAAGTTCGTATAACAATTTAAAATACTTACTTCCTACATTTTTAGCTACGTCCTTTGCATAATCTAGCTCGGAGCCTTTACTTTCCGACTCGTTTGTCGTGTTGGGTATAGAATCATCAGAGCACTCAGCATTTGTTTTCGGCTCTCCTTCGACGGGGTTCTCGCTCGTATCACCGCCATTTTCACTTTTTGGGGGCCCCAAAGAGGACCACCAACTAAACATATTTTTTTCTTGATTTTTAACAAAACTATTTCTCTCAGAAGAAAACAAACACAGCCTTCATGTCCATCTTCGTCGCCATAATTGTTTTCTCGTGACGTCAAATTTTCGATATGAGCATGCAATGCTTTGCCAGCTGATTCATTGTAAACTGTATGCGCCCAGCTGCTATCAAAAATTATGGCAGATGATTTAGAAAATATTGTTTTGATTTTCTTTAATTTCTACTCTACAAATTATTTTTTAAAAGCACACGATATGGGATGAGTTTTTGTGAAAGACACGCAAAGAGAAGATTCGGGAATTATGTGGACGGTGCTATGAGATAACAAGTTTCATAAGGAAGGTGAAGGTCAGATCTGAGCTGATCTGAGTGAACTTGGAAATGTGAGAATCGATAGATTTGAACGGCAGAACCTAAAAAAATGTTTTCATCACGATTTATTTCGTTTTTAGTCAAAAATCGTTTCAAAATTTCGTCGTGTATGTCGTCATTTCGAAAAGCGACGGCAAAAGACCATAAAAGTCGTGAGACGAAAGAATAAACCCACCTGTCAGAGCGAGAAATTCATCAGGGTTTCACCAGGGTATACCTGCCGGCGTTTGTCAACATAAATGATTTAATTGCTTTGTCATCCATGGGTAAATTCCTTTTCGAATGCCTCCACGAGAGCGATCGCCGATTACTGGAACGAAAATATGGGAAATGGGCCTTTTTTCTTGACAAGAGCGTACTTGGCGATAGTAACAATTTCGAGTGTTTACTGGGGTTCGTGGGGAAGGCCGCAGTTTGACGCCAGTTGGAACAATACGAGAGATTGGAAGAGGGAATTGGCCGATAAGGAAGGTTACTTTACCAACACTTGGGCCGTAGAAATTGACCCTGCAGAAGAACACGTGGTCGCAGCGATCGCAAAAAGACATGGTTTTTCTGTCATAGGAAAGGTTAATTAAGCTTAATTTCGCAATGTTTTTAGGAAGAAAGATAGTGGAATTATTTGTAACAATATTTGCCTGGATGAAGGTAGAACGCAGTTAATATTATGAATTATCCAAAGAACACATGGTGGCCGACATGGTTGAGTAAAATCCATTTTTTATTGTGCATAGGATGTACTTTCATTTTGCACCTACCAGAGTAGTGGGTAAAATAAAAACTTTAAGTCACGTTATACTGTATTTGCCCTTTTCACGAGTGTTGAATTTCTAAGTACTTTCAAGAGAGACATATTGACTCATTATACAGACCAACTTTTTTTTAAGAAATGTGGTCACTCCCTCTGGTTTAAATGTGGAAAGGCAGTTCTAGAGGAAAACTAAGTTTTTATGAGTCAAAATTTGTGATGCTCTAAAACAGTGAATTGACTTGTGTCAATATTTCATTATAGAAACCAGCTAGAAGACCTACTTTATTGGCACATGTCTTGAGTACTTTAAAAGCTTAAACAGAATTTGCCTGCATGTATACAGTCAAATCTTTGAATGTTTTTCAATGTTTTAAATACAAATATAAAAATGACATTGAGATCATCAAAAACCCAGTCTTAATTCCTCTTTGAAAGATCAGTCAAGTTTTTCTGTCCTACATGTGACCCTTAACTTTGAATGCATTTTTTCCAGATTGGAGATCTTCCTGGTCACTATCATCTTAGACACGATGAAGTGGATGAACTTAATAAAGAGCACAACAGAGACAAAACTGATAGGTTATTACTTGAGAAAGAGGTTTGTTTCTTTTTTTTCTTTTTTTAAATTTTTGAAGGGTTAATTAATTTGAGGCACACTGTAAGTCAAATCATAAATGTTTAACCTTATGGTTTGATCAGTGACAAGAACATTAACTAGGCTAAGATATTTTTCATGTGCACAGGTCTTAAAATATATTTTAGTTTGACAATAAATTTTGACACGGACAAAATTCAGAATTTCTCAAGTGCATTTAGCTTGTGGAGGATTATATGATAGGGATTGTATTTTTATAGAAATAATGTGCTAAAAATGTCATTGGTGAAAAGGTTGGTTGCTATGTCTCATCAATATCTATAGAGTGATGCAATGTAACATCCAGTTGTATCTAAACCAGGTGAAATGGGCAGAACAGCAAAAGATTCTTCACAGAATTAAACGTGATGGAATACCTACAGATCCAAAGTTTAGGGAAATGTGGTATTTGGTAAGAGGAATATGTTTTACAATTAGTGCGTAAGGCAATATAATGGACATAACTGAACCCATAATGAAAAAAAAAAAATGCAGAGGCATTGGATTGTATAGACAATGGGTGCCTTTGATATCACAGGACTTCCACTAGCACTATGACCATTTCACCCCAGGAAAGAAAACTGTTCTTATGGTTAAGTTGAATGGATCATGCTTGGAACCCAGGTGTGAGCCCACACACAGATGTATCCAGGTACCCATTGCATCATACTCATGGTATCCAGAGAGAGAGAGAGAGAGAGAGAGAGAGAGAGAGTGAGAGAGAGAGGGGATGGGAGGAGGGAAGACTTAAATGTTCCAAAGTTCTACAAAAATCTTCCTTGCAAAGCTACACTAAAAAACAAAAAAAACCATAGGCTGATCCAGTGGTGCTCTATAAACACAAGCCCTGACCAGCAAACAAATACCAACATCTTTTTGTTGTTAATGTTATTAAATTTCAGTCAAAAGAGAATCATGATTCAGTTTTCACCTATGAATAATGTTTGGTTAGACTTTCACTGTTGTTAGCCATTTTAACTAATCATTATGGTAATAAATAATCAGTAAGGATATTTTATTAGCTCAATGAAGGTCAGACAGGGGGACCTGTTGGAGTGGATATCAATGTCCTTCCAGTCTGGAAGAAAGGCTACACTGGCAAAGGAATTGTGGTGTCTATTTTAGATGATGGTGGGTACTGGCTTATGACTGAAAGGATTCACAGAAAAAAGTCATTTATTTAAGTGACTTTGCAATGACTGATAGATCCTCCATCGATATTGTCATGCACTTTTTTTGTAAAAAAAAACTAAAAAAGAGGGAGAAGTTGGTGTTAATCAAGAGTCCCACAGGGCTTTATTCTGTTCACCCCTTTAGTTGTTGACTCTAAATCTCCATCCACAGAAGTGTTGATTAATAATCCAAGTAACAGAAATTCAGCTTTACCCATCGTAGCCCTACCAACATATTTTTGGTACAACTTCTCCTCCCAGTTTCAGTTGATGTGTAATATTATCTGACAATAAGTGATCAGATGAGACAAACTTTTAATATATTCAGCCAGAGGCCTCTTTTATGAGTCCCATTTAATCACTTTTTGATATGGTATTATTATAATTATATTTTTCTTTTTGATTTGGTATTTTTTTTTTTTTGAGATGGTATCTCATGTTGAGCCTGTCAGTGAACATTTGAGCGCTAGTGTCTTTGGTGTGTATTGTTCATTTGTGAAAAACTGGAGAATGCTGCTTTTTACCATTTAGTTCCCAGACTCTAACATGTAGCTCTCAGAATACTTCCAAATTTTGTTTGAAATAATTTTATCTTTTTTAGGTGTTGATCATACTCACCCAGATTTGGCAGCAAATTACGTAAGTTGTAATTTTTTATTAGTTATATCCACCAGTGATTAAAGATAGTTAATATTTGTGTAGGTGCAGTGCTAGTGATGCTTTACATGATATAAAAAAAGAAAAACGTTCCTGTCAATTTTTGTTAAAAAATTTTTAGATGGCTCTGAACCCTCTATTTCATTGTTAAGTACCTAGAAAACGTTATCTTGTCAGAATCGTTAATTTTTAAACAAAATAATGACCATTAAAATGATGGGAACTATTTTGGGTTGTTTAATAGAAGCCGCACATGTGGCAGAATTTTAAAGCTCATGTGTCTGACAAATTGTATAGTTTACATCCAGACTTTCTTGCAAGCAGCCCCTCATTATTAGCCGGGCCAGGACACACGTTTTTCCACCCATGGGAAGATTTGGAATGAGTTAGGGAGAATTAGCCAGGGGTCTGGCACCAATAACTATCAGTTCCAGACCCCTTGCAGACCTGTCGCTAGCTCAATTTGCTCAGGGCCTCACACTTTCCTGTAAGCAAAGAAACACTTGTGCTCAAGAACTTAAAGAATGAGAGCCTGCTGATACTGAGGCTATAACCACACGAGGTTATCGATAATTCGCTCTTGTCTTGATAGTTATATGGTATGTTTCCTAACAAACCAATATGGAGTGCTGGTCATTTCGCCAACGTGTCAGTTCGCCAACGACCAGTTCGCCAATGTGTGAGGTCGATTCGTCAACTTCTAAGGTCAGTTTGGAACAATTTTGGCGAATCGACCTCATACGTTGGCGAACTGGTCGTTGGCGAATTGACACGTTGGCTAAACGACCGGTTACCCCAATAGTGCTGAATTATCAAGGAATCAATTCTGATATCTGCTTTGATTCACGTTTAATACAGTTATATAGTGCATACACTTTTTATTAACAGCAGAGAGACTGATATGGTAACTTACTAACTTTTGCTTGAATTTTTTTATGAATTGCAGGATCCAAAAGCTAGCCATGATTTCAACGATAATGACAATGAGCCTAGACCACGAGATACTGATCCTGACAATTGGTAATGAATCGTTGTATATTGACTATTAAATAATGAATAATGGGGTTAACTTCCATAGATATATGTCCCGCAGAAATTACGCACTGTGCAGGTTTTTTCTAACGGGAACGTCTTTGTGAGGCGCAAACGAGGTTGGTCAAGATTTCAGTTGAATGATCCGGATTGAAAATAACCAAAAAATAAAAATAATTGATCCCAATTTTTTCAGGTGCAGCAGCTGTATGTGATGTGCACTCCTTTAAATGTGAACATGACCTAGAGAACTGACGTTTTTTCTTTCTCATTTTGAATTTAAAGCCATGGAACCCGATGTGCGGGAGAAGTTGCAGCTTTAGCAAACAACACCATTTGTGGAGCGGGAGTAGCGTATCATGCTCATGTAGGAGGTAAGTTTATATTAGAGAAAATAAAGAGATTTAACACTGCGTTTACGTGAAACGCCAAACGTCAGCTTGCTCTTTCACGTTTCGCGTAAAATAGCATGAGCCTTGCTGCTTTAGCTTCGCGTGAGCTCACGTCACAGTGGATTTGAAGGCGCCCTAGTATGACTTACAAGGAATAGTTTTGGTGCCCTTTTTCCAGCAATTAACTTCTACTCTTTGAGGGAAAAAGTGAAGAAAATCTTACGTACACGGCAAACGCGAAACAGGTTACTTTCGCGAAGAAACGGCAAAGCGTAACCGGCGAACGTGAAAGAATGGCGGGTAAAATGAGGTCACAAGGTCTCTCTTGCAGTTCACGTTTAACGTAAACGTGGTGCTGAATCTCTCTAATAACCACTGTTTTTGCCATCAGAAACGGAATGATGTATTTCTTAATGAGCAGCCTCGTATGTCACAGGGGGATTCTTTTCATACACGTTTTTCCCTAGAAACATATTTTGCTGAACGTTAGTGGTCTTTACGCTTGTAGTTTTGAATTTCGATGGTTGCCTTTGTTGAAAAAGCAAACATCTTTTTTATTGCTTAAAAGGCGCTTCATGGATTTATAAGAGTTGCCGTGTGAGCCTTTTTTTTATTTTGGTCGATGATTTCTCTCAAATCTTACAAAGAATATTTTTGGGACTCAAATTTGTGCAAAAAAATGCTGTATTTGTGGTGTAACAGTGTTTTTCCTATCATTCAAGGCGTTCGCATGTTAGACGGTAAAGCCACAGATGCGTTAGAGGCGAGTTCGCTGGGATTTCAACTTCAATATGTGGACATATTTAGTAACTGTTGGGGACCAAAGGATGATGGGAAAACTTTCGGGAAGCCGGGTCCTTTGGCGGCTAAGGCGCTGAAAAGAGGAGCTGAAATGGTGAGATGCGACGCCGGAATTATTTCCTTTTTTTGGTTTTTATTGAAAGTTAATGCGGTAAAAGAAGAGTTCTTGCGTATGTATTCTGTCGGTAGCTTCCCCCGTCAGCTAGCCAGTCAGCATATCTGTCAGTCATTCTGTCTATCGGTCTGTCTATAGGTCTTTCTAAAGGGAGTATATTTCTATGAAAACTTTGGTGCTGCATCGGTGGGTGTATTTAGAGATATTTTGGTCTTATCAAGTTATTGATAATGTAAATTTGCCTCCGTAAAGCTGACGTTTCGAACGTTAACCCTTCGTCAGGTCGAAACAATTCAAACCATTCGCGACCAATTCGCTCTGACCAAGGGCTAACACTCAAAACTTTAGCTTTAGAAACTCTTTACGGTGGCCAACTTACATTATCAACTCAGCTGACAAAACTAAATTATCTTTTCTGCCTGTCTGTCTGTCAGTCCGTCAGTAAGAAAGTTCATTCAGTCACTTAGCCCACAATGTATGAAAGAGCTAAATGTCGATTCTTAAACCTTTTTCGTTTCGTATTTACTTTCTCATTCCTGTTTGTTTTGTTTTATTTTTTTTTCTTACCGCGCTTTTGATCATATCTGCATGGAAAAGGCACGTTATAAATTTTTAATTATTACTATTATTACCCATTCAGCCCATATTTTCAGTTTTTCTATCATAACAGGCTTACGTAATTCACAATGGCATTTGTAGGGTCGTGGTGGTAAAGGTAACATCTACGTGTGGGCGACTGGCAATGGTGGTCTTACAGATGATGACTGCAACTGTGATGGCTACACTACCAGTATATACACGGTGTCTATCGGCTGTATTGGTGATCATGGCCTATCTGCTTACTATACTGAGCTCTGCTCATCTACTTTAGCAGTCACATTTAACGGAGGAGCCCACAGAGAGCGAGAAGAAAACAAAATGGTAAGCTGCTTTTATTAGCTCTAAATTTGAGTTAATTATAGTCTTAAATGTCAGTAGATTGTGTTGCTCATCGTTTTTGTTCAGTAGCGATTAAATTAAAAAAAAAAATTACCACTTATCTTATTATGTGACTCGGAAGGACGCCTTCGATGGAACGGAGAGCGCGTGTGAAACATTAATCTAGTACTATATGGCTATTTTCGTCAGTAAGTAGAGGTAGCCGTGGTTAAGATTTGTGTCCCTGTTACACTTTACTGACAAAGTTCAGCATCCTTTTTTTAATTTCGTGCTATTTGCAGATAACTACAGACCTCCATCACCAATGTACAGAACAGTTTAAAGGGACTTCATCAGCCGCCCCTTTAGCAGCAGGAATGATAGCTCTTGCGTTGGAAGCAAAGTAAGCAATTTTCCCAACGCTGCCTCGTAACTACTTTTATTGAGCTTCTTCCCTGACATTTCTGAGTGACTCTCAGATTTTACCAGAAAGTGCACGCTCTAAACTGCTCGTTCACAATCTTGCTTAGTATTTAGCTTAAAACGAACATGAATTTACCGTAAGAGCGATTTTCAATTGAGCGTCGAAGGTAATTCAGGCATGTTTTGCTTCTGCTTAATTTCACTCTGTGGTTGGTCCAGAAAACTCGCGCTTCCCTCTCACCGCCCCCATCAGATTCAAAACTTTAACCAATCATGATTGGTCAATCGCGTTTTCCCCCTCAGTATACCTGTTTTTACTAGGAGTTCTAATTGGCTGATTATGATGTCAATCTTCGCTCCGATTGGTTGACATTGGGCTAACTTTGGTTGTGATTTCTTGAATTTCATCTGTTTTTTTCTTCATTTCTTATTCATTTATTCATTCATCTTTTCTTATTTACACTGTGGATGTAAATCTTTCATAGTAACAAACTGACTTGGAGAGACATGCAACACATCATTGTAAGAACAGCCAAATTAACGAGTCCCGTGGATGACGGATGGCGGACAAATGGAGCAGGGTTTCATTTCAATCACAAGTTTGGTTTTGGTCGCTTGGATGCTGATGCTATGGTAGAAATGGCGAAAGCATGGACCGCAGTACCTGCCCAGCGGATTTGCACTGGAGCAGCTAGTATAGAAGAAAGGTGACCAACATTACAGTGTAAAACTCTACAAAAAATTAACATTCCAATATAAAAGACTTTGTTTTGGAATCATACTGAGTCTTTCTGTTAAGATAAAGAAAAAGCCGGGAACTCTTCTTTTTCTAGAGGAACTATTTCCCAATGCTTATGAGATCAATTTTTAAGTATAGGTAATCACATGATTTCGAGTGCAGTTTGGAATAAATAAGCACGAGTAAATTTTTTCAAAGACTAACAAAATTGCATGAGCCCGTAGGGCGAGTGCAATTTGTGGTCTTTGAAAAAATTTACAAGGGCTTATTTATTCCAAATTGCACGAGAAAATCATGTGATTATCTATTAATAATATACATGAAAAAATACGAGGTAGCTTCTCATAACTACGCAGAAGAAAAGCGCGCGCATCACGTGCAAAAATAGTTTATTCAAACCCTGCAAGTGACATTGACCTTGACATTGACCTTGACATTGACCTTGACATTGACCAATCATTCTGACCAATCATAATGTCTGGTTTGTTTCTTTCTTTGCACTGAATTAACTCTCTTCTGCACTGAATTTACTGAAAACTGCATTCATCTTAACCAATCAGAACTGAGAAATTTTTTGATGTATATTATTAGCGTTAAAAATGTCTTATGAATTTAATAGAAAATGAAAACTGGTTGTGTGGATGAGGTGAAAACCATGGCGATGAGAATTAATAAAAGATTAAGAGTGGATTCTGCAATGTGCAAACTGTGGCATCACCGACATCACCCTTTTTGAAATTCATGTCTCTGTTTCAAGGATGAGGGGAGAAGAGCGATTTGCATTGAAATTCGTGTCTCTTTCAACTGAAAAACAAGGAAAAATTGAAACCAAAGTTGAAAATGAACAACATACCATACAACGACATCGTTGCAGTCGTGTTGGTTGAGTAGCTTCGAATTCCCACAACACCACACTCTAATCAGGCGGGATTGTGTCTTTCACTTTACAGGGACATCCCTTCAGGTGGTGCGCTGGAGCTGTCTATACCCACTAAAGCATGCGCAGGGACTATTGCCGAGATAAACAAACTTGAGCACGTGGTACTCACCATCAGCTTCATTCATCGGCGCCGTGGTGACGTCAGCATTCTACTGATGTCACCATCAGGGACCAAGAATGAAATGCTTTCTACACGACATTATGACGACTCCAAGGAAGGTCTTGATAACTGGGGCTTTATGACCGTTCACTGCTGGGGTAAGTACTGTCCAATAGACAGAATATTCGTAGTGTTGGAGTGCATGCATATCAATTTGGTGTCTTGTATTCTCACGAGGCTCGCTCGGAAGGTTTAAAATCCCTGTTTGTCTCTGTACAGGTGAAAATCCTCGGGGTTTCTGGCAGCTGAAGCTCATTGATAATCCGTTGAACGAGATTGGGGACCGCGTGTTGAACGGTTACGGTACTCTACACCTGGACACGAGCAAACAAGATACTGATGTAGAGGATTTAGAGGAACAAGTTATTGACGATCAAACCAAGCAGCAGCAAACTCGCGTTCAGCAGCTGAAAATGCAGGTATTGCGACGGAAAAACGAAAGATGTTTTTCTCTGGATATCATGTGTTTTTATTTGGAGTACAACCTTTTACAAATTATTGCGCTTGAAAGTACTGGTTGTTTTCCCGCGCTTAGTGGTAGTCACCGTCTTCGTACCCTTGGCGCCGGTTACAGTTTTCCCGCCGTTGAAAGTTATCCTTGTTTTCCCGCGCTTAGTGGTAGTCACCGTCTTCGTACCCTTGGCGCCGGTTACAGTTTTCCCGCCGTTGAAAGTTATCCTTGTTTTCCCGCGCTTAGTGGTAGTCACCGTCTTCGTACCCTTGGCGCCGGTTACAGTTTTCCCGCCGTTGAAAGTTATCCTTGTTTTCCCGCGCTTAGTGGTAGTCACCGTCTTCGTACCCTTGGCGCCGGTTACAGTTTTCCCGCCGTTGAAAGTTATCCTTGTTTTCCCGCGCTTAGTGGTAGTCACCGTCTTCGTACCCTTGGCGCCGGTGACAGTTTTCCCGCCGTTGAAAGTTATCCTTGTTTTCCCGCGCTTAGTGGTAGTCACCGTCTTCGTACCCTTGGCGCCGGTGACAGTTTTCCCGCCGTTGAAAGTTATCCTTGTTTTCCCGCGCTTAGAAGTAGTCACCATTTACCTCCCTGCACCTAGTCGGTTACAGTTACTCGCGGTTGATATTGATCCATATTTTCTCGCGCGTAACGGTAGTCACCGTTTTCCTACGCTCGGCGCCGGTTAGTCTCCCGCGCTTGAAATGAATCCTCGTTTTCCCGCCGTTTACCTGCCTGCATCTGGTTGGTAACAGTTTCCCGTACTTATTGGTGGTCACTTTTATCGTGCACCTTACACAACCTTTGCTTATTTCCGTCTGCCTCTGATAACAATTGTAATATGTACTTATTGACCGGGTGGGAAGGCCGGGCGGGAAAATATTTGGCTCGAGGTCATGACTGCGAGACAACTAAGTGTTTAAAATTTCAATCTAAATAGGACGCGATGAACGGATACACGCAGCCACACGAGCATAAAAAGAAGTTCTGCTATTAAAATTTTTTCAGTCAGAGAAACTCCCAATTCCATGAAAAACGCAACTTTTTTTCTCATTTCTGTAAGTTTTTCCAACAGAGCGACCTGAGGGCAGCAGGACCGGACGGCTTTTTCCAAACCGGCTGTCGTCAACTCGTCCGGCCCTGCTTACGTCAGCTTTCACTATGGTTTTCTATGGGATTGCGGAAGCGGGGCCGGACGGGTCACATGATAATAACTGTCGTTTACAATTTTTTTTTTTTTTTTTAAACAGGACTCCCATATTGATTTTCCATATCCCCCGGGAGTCAGGCGAGACGAAGTGCGGCACCAGAACAGCTCGGAAATGAGTGAACAAAGCGTCATAGACGATCTCTATAACCTCACTGAAAGCGATGTGGCTAGCGCCACAGAGTACGTTTACGATCGAAGCCGAATTGCTTACCCCAAGGGATCGGGAAGCGGGGATTTTTCTGGCAACGACGAAGGTTTCCCAGACCCTGGGATTGACTCAAATTCCCAGGAATCGGGAAGTGGCCGAGAGCCTGAAGCTTATGTTAGCGAGGGAATTCCCTTGGAAGAGATACCCGACGAAGAAATGGACGCCGAGGATCGAGACCACATTTCATATCCCTCGGATTCCGGCGGGACATCCCTTGATGATTTCCCCGATGATGAGGACTTTATCGATGAAGACATCGCTGATGATAACAACGGTTTTAAAGAAACTCTCCGAGAAGCACCATCTGTTGTTAAGAATTTGAAATCTAGAGGTAGAAAAAGGCACTCGAAGACGACCTTCGCAAAGAAAAGTGTCGTAATGAACAATAATTCTAAGACATTAAAGAAAAAGGTCCAAGTTGCGGCTGAGGAGACCGCTACCCAGCGTGTTCAAGTAAACGCGGGCTACGAAAATCCTGAGATTCCTTGTCTGGGCAACGGCTGTTCTGGGGTTCTGTTAAAATGGGTGCTCACGTTTTATGGTACTGAAAATTAAACACAAATAGTATAGTGAATTTTTATCAATTTATCTGTTTTATAATTCATTCGAACAGGAAAATCACCACTAGGAACCCCAACTGTATGGGAGTTTTGCTAAATTTTGGTAAGCGGCTTGGATAGGGCGTGCCATAAAATTAGACCCTGAATGACGAATTGGCTGAGCCATGTATTTGATTTAGGAATTTTTTCAAATTGATAGGCGCTCCTTCAGAGAGAGTTTCCTACTTCAAGCCGATTATCAAAGTTTCGAAAACCTTCGTTTGCCTCGGGGGGAACTCTGCTTTAGAAACTGAAAAACGTGGTTTTATACCCATTCTTTTCTCTTGTTCTCCACACAGTGAATTGTCGAATGTTTTTTTTGACAAGTTTTGTACTGTACTGGCAAAAATATCGATACCCCATTCACACCAAAGTTTAAACATGTTTTAAAGCTGTTTTGTTAAACGCAATTTTAAATTATTTTCTTCTTAGAAGCAGCTTAAATCGATGTTTATCACTTCAAATTTAGCATATTGAAAATACAAGTTAGTGACTACTTGAACCCTATGGGTACCTTAGTTTTTCAGTTCTCTGTCTCTGATATTAATTCAGTTAAACCTCTTTTACCTAGACGTTGGTGTAAATGGGGTACGAGTCTTAAAGAAATCAAATCAAGTGTAAACTGTATGTTGTTTATTTCACAGAAAAAGCGCGTAGCGACTTCATACACTCGGGTATAATACCCCCTTAAGGAAAGAAAACGTAAACTAAGTTGCATCCTTGACCATGAAGGTCCCTCTAAAACACTCAACTTCTATCTCTTATTAGACATTAATTCCTGACGTTTTCTGTGATATTTCATCGTTGTGACATAAAGTAGGTAGCCAGTTAGTGAGACTGGTAACCTACCTCAATCAATGTATGATAGAGTAAGTGAATACAGTTTAATATGATTGGTTACTATCGTTTCCATAGTGTATCCATCCCATTTCCTTACCTATAGCTGGTAATTTTTTTGCAGTGAGTGTTGCATTAAACAAAGTTGTTTTTAAGGGGTGTTGATTTATTTGTTCTTTGACAAAAGCGCTGTGGTTTTTGATAAGGGGTCATTTTAAAACGGAAGTGATAAACGAATGTCGAGCATGGTGCACATCTCGTGGAAAGTCAGATTCGGGGATGTGCTGTGCGGCAAACTTTTAGGCTTCAATTACATCTGAGTCTAAGCTTGTGTGTGTCCATGTACACTGGAATACGAGCGCAGTGATGGAAGTGAGTGCGCAGATAGAACTAAATTAAAGTTTCAAGTTATAAATCCTCAACTTTGACTGACAGCAGACAGGATTTTCATGTTTAAACCAAGGGATTTTAAAGCCAGCTGGTTCTTCAGTGATTCCTTCCATATGATTGGATATTTCGGCGGTTCTGGAAACTTTAGGAACTGAACAACGATCAAAGTAAAGACAAAGTTAGACGATCTAACTTTGTCTTTACTTTCCGTATAATTACTGTCATATGTAACAAGGTGACTAAACCCGAATGGATACATTTAGGTAAAAATGTCAAACGATGTTAAATCAAAGATGAGAAGAAGCTTAACACCAAGAGACACTAAAACTTTTTCTCATCTCCCAGCCATTCCTTTGTCCAGCGCGCCTGTGCGAAAAAACGTGCCGATGGCCGATTTCACAATGTATTCACGCCTTCTGCTGAGTGTGATTTCTGTCTCGGTGAGTATTTCCCTGCATGGATAAGCGAAAGAGCTGAAGTTCATTCAAGCGTTTTTATAAAGACAACCCACAACCTGCTATCCACCATGACATACATCGTGCATCAGACTGCGTAAGTAGTTGGTCCATAGTCATGAATTTATTCAACAAAATTGGGCCTCGATTTCTATAACAAATTCGCTAGAAAGTAAAAAATGAAACCAGTGCGATGGCGTGTTTACATCACGTTGTTAATCCTCGCGTCCGAAATCGCCGTCTTGCTTGGAAAACCTGCAAAGAAATCGCGGAAAAGAGGAAGAAGAATCCTTGAAACGACGCCGAAGCTGACGCGAAGAGAGTGGGAAGAACTTCACAAGTTTGAAGATGCGCTTAAAAACGACAATGGAGAGCTAATGTTCACGAATTCCTGGGCTCTTAAACTGGATCCCGCGGAGATCAAAGTCGCGGATAGGATTGCTAAGAAACATGGTTTTATAAACTACGGCCAGGTAGGTAAACTTGAGTTTTTCTTTATATTATTCTGCGGGTGTTCTAAGCTTTGAGTTCAAACGTCAATAATTTTTTCCGGTGGCATGCGGTTTATAGGAGAGGATTTTATCACTAAGGTTACTTCTTTGAAACTGGAAAGTGTCATTAGCGACTTAATCCGATCATTTGCAGTAAGACGTTTCGCTTTGCTTCGATTTTTGTAGAATTTAGAACGTATTTTTCAAATCTTTCTCTCGAAAGCGCCATGCTACTAGTAAATCAACAATTGGTTTTCTTAATTGATCACCAGTCATGTTTTCCTAATTGTTGACTTCTACTTTATAATGTAGACTGTACATAGTGAAGCCTTAAAAATTTACTCAGTATAATTTTTGCACTGAAAAAACTCACTTACTAATCATGTGAAATCAGACTTGTTCAAAGTGAGTTGCGCGATTTTCCCTATGGCAATTATTGTTATTAGTTCTGTAACGTTCTCAGTCATCTTTGGGATGCTTCTGTTGCATCCACTAAGGTAAACAAGCTATGATATTGTCGTTTGTACTAATGGTTGATTTTCTAATTCAAAAATCTCAAAACAAATTGATCAAATTGCTTTGCTAATTTACATGTGAGTGAATGTAAATACTTAGACTAATTCGAAGTTGCTATAGTTTTATCAGTATCAGGTAAAAGCAAAGATCCTTGCAGATGAGATGCAATTTCAGCAATTTCAAAAAGACAAGAAGCCTAAAAAAGTTCAGGCTTTGACGGGAACCCATGTCTCTTTAAAAGTACTAGTTATTCCACGAGCGCGCTTTGGATATGAGATGATGGATAGCCAACGAGGCGCGTAGCGCCGACTTGCTTATAATCATCTCATATCCAACAAGCGCAAGTGGAATAATTGTTTTATTAAAAAAACGCCCCCAAGATATTAGACAAATCGTCTCGACTTTCTTTTGTAAGAATAAACCGGATGTTACAATGTACAGATATTAGATTATGGTATATTGGCTCATATACCATAATGGCTTAGCCAATCAAAAGTCTTGAATTGCATTATCCAATGATCCAGTTTTTAATAAATAGCTGATCTACGAAGCCTCAGGTTGGGGGAGGCGAATGTTTTAGAGCGTTCTTCTTCCTGTGGAGGAATCTGATCACAATTTTACGTGAAAGATTCCTCCCAACTAGTTTCTTATTGATACGTGGTGTAACAAGTTGCCGTAAATGCGAGTGGTACACGGTTGCTCTCAAAGGTCTGTGCATGCGAGTGCTGCAAGGGCTGCAGTATAAGGAAAAAATGAAATAGCCAAAATAATATTTTTATTTTTATTCTTGCAACGTCGTGAGCACAAAAACGTTCCACTGTTGGCCTTGAAAAGCTCATCAGTGTTTCTCAGCATCTTGCAAGTCAGTTCTCAAGTTCAAAGTCGAGCACCATCAAATCCTGCTGAATATTGTTTGGAATAGTGATTAATGCATCTTCAGTATACAGAAGGTGTTAAATCTTTTGGCTTTGATTAAAATTTGCATAATTTGGGATAAAGATCGTTCGCTATAACAATTTTACTCTGCACGTTCGAGGAAAACATTGACATCGAAAAAATTTAAAAACCAACGAAAACATTAGGAAACCACAATTTGATTTAAATACTCACAATGAGCCAAACCCAGATATCCTGATTGCTAAACTTGGTTTGAAAGTATGAATCTCTTAGAAAATAAGATATAATTCAAAACGTTCTCTTTATTATACAGATGTTTTTGTAATTTCATCCCAGGTTGGCTCACTCACAGGATATTATCATTTTAAACACGAAGGCAAAGGCTTACGACACAAGCGTGATGTACATGAAAAAACCAAACTATTGTTATCTGAAGATGAAGTAAGTACAGCTTCCGTTTTTCATGTCGTTATTGTTATATATCCATACACAGAATGAATTCCTTCGATGTTTTCGCTCAAATCGAATGATTATCTGACAGGCTGGAAGGCCATTGAAAAATTCCAAAGTAGGTAGAACTGGCGCCTAGCACAGGTAATTATGCAGAACCAGCTAGGTCATGGCCGCTAGTTTTGCTTGTTAAATTCTCTAATGTTAAAGTCGCACATATTAACGAAAACGTGTGATCTAGTTCGCCAATTGATTCTCTGTACTGGCTAAAGCCTGCCTTGGAGGCATTCAACAAGAACGCTTAGAAAAATAACAAGTAGACAGTTTTTCCGTCGTGTGCACGTGACTTCTCGTTCGCATGTGCCGGTGCAAATTACTCGCGCTTGTTGCCTCGTTTTAACCGGCGGTTAAAAATTGGCGAATGCGCTGCAAGCTTCTTTGGCTCGGTAAACATATCACCTGATTGAAAATCCTAACTAATTTAGAATCGATCCATACTGGGACTCAGAATTTTACTAGTTCACACTCAATGGCTCTTTGATCTCCTGTATACAACATTCATTATGTGGCACGTGACAAACGATCTTACCAAGGGAGTGATGTTTGTACCTTCCAGGTTGTATGGGCAGAACACCAACATGTTTTAGTAAGAACTAGAAAGGATGGTATCCCATCAGATCCTAAGTTCAGAGATCAGTGGTATCTTGTAAGTATATTCCGGTTCGTAGGTAGAAATTTATTTATTACCATATTTTTCGTGGCCTGTTCAGTTCAGTTAAAGATCTAATTGCGCCAATTAAAACTGTAGAAGATAAAGTAAGATGGATGAAATGACTGATAAGGCCAAGGGGTTTGTGGATGCTGAGCTAAGTCAGAAACTGAGCTAAGTCAGAAACTCATAAGTCCAGAGATAATTTCTTGCAACAACAGTTAAAAGGCCTCCTGAAAAACGCAAATTTTGTATCATATTTTGCGCATTTTTTCTGTACATAGTTAAATCAAGGACAATCCACTGGCCCGGCTGGTGTCGATCTCGATGTGATGCCTGTTTGGCGGCAAGGTATCACGGGAAGAGGAGTGGTCATTAGTATTCTTGATGATGGAGTTGACCACACCCATCCAGATCTTAGAGATAACTTTGTAAGTAACATATCAATCTGATATTAGTCGTGTTGAACGAATGATGATTTTTGGGTCCAAAGTACAGGATCGAAAATAAGCAAGGGGTTTCAAGTCCAAAATTATCCACAAAGGAGGGAGAATACGCCTAAAGGATTTATCTTACGAAAAGAGTTCCAACTGTGTGCATGCAACGACATAGTTCTTCACAAGACAGGATCAAACTCTAATGCTAAAGGCCTCTTTTAGGATAATCCCTCATGAGATTTTTTTTAAATTCAAAGAATCTGGTCCTTAAGTGATAAGGTTAAAAACTTGCAAAGTGCTTACATGTTGTGGTTAAGAACAAAACTGGATGGGATATTGGTAACAAAGGATCCTCCAAAAGCGATGGAAATTATGGCTTACGAGTGATCTTCGTGGGAATACGTAGAGCTTCACTGGCCTTGTTAACAAAATCAATCTTCCTTGACTTTACTGTGTGAACACATCACAAAAAATGTGTCATTCTACCACCATTCCTTGACACAGGACCAAAAGGCAAGTTATGATTTTAACGACATGGATGCTGATCCAAAGCCAAGAGATAGCGACCCTGACAACTGGTAGGGAACTCACATGATCTTCATGGCTCCATCACAAATCTTGACAATAGGCCACCAAGATCAGTGGCTAAAACTGTAGATTGTTTCACATTCGTTTTATGAAGAGCTTTCTAATGTTAATAGTGATTGTTTGAATCGCATGATTCAGCCTTTCTTTGAAAGTTTCTTCAGTGTGTGGAAAATTTGCAAACGTAGACATTAAAACGAGCAGGTCACTTTAGAAACCTTTTAACTGCCCCGGAATTCCTGGCTGCATTAAGTCATGGATACAACATACTAGAAGAAATTGAAAGGACTTTTCTGGGCTGAGCACTTTCTAAATTATTTCTCTCTGACAAAACACCCCCTTGTGATGGAATAGGGAAAGCAATATATTGTCAACTGGAGTGTCAGATAAAGTAATGAACCAGGAGAACATGTGTGATAGAGCTGGGATTTTTAGAATAGGAGGGGGAAATCACAAACTAACGTATTACTGTCATTTAGAAGTATATCAGGTTACTTTATAATCGATAATTTTTGACAAAGAAGGATTTTACGCGTAACCCTGTCTCCCTTGTTTACTCTTGTGCAACCCTTATATTGATCAAGTAGTCGTAGAGAATGCCAAATGGCATGTCTTTGTCCTTTTTTTACGCTTGGTTTCTCTAAAATTTTAGTCACGGAACACGATGTGCTGGAGAGGTGGCAGCGGTCGCTAACAATAGCGTATGCGGAGTGGGTGTAGCTTATGATGCTAATATTGGAGGTAAATATTTAATCACATGCTCATGACCTTCTCATAATTTACAAGTCTTACAGACCGAACGGTTTGCACTGTTGTGGATTTTTTGTTACAACATTATTTTCCTTGCCAGTCTTTTGCTATCAGAAATGCTGTCATTCTTTATACATTGATGCGCATCGCTGCTCAAGAAAATGATTACAGTCATTTTGTTTATTCTCAGATGAATTAGTTGTTTTTTCAAAGAAGTAAGTTTAAAGCTTTCTAAAGGTTCGTCTTACCTCTTGGGTATTTTCCAACTATTAAAAAGTGATATTGAGAGTTCCATATCATGGAGAAACAATTTAAAATATTTTTCAGTTTGAATAAAGAAGGGTTAAGTCATTATTAGAGGCAAATAAGTGTATTAACCCCTTCCCCCCACCCCCACCGGCTAAATGAGAGGCTGGTTCATCGCCTGTTACACCTTAACATATCGTCTAGTAAACCTGAAAGTTCGCTTGTACCCAGTCTTACTCCTGAAGAGAGCCACTGTATGGGGTAATGTCCTTTCAAAAACACAACACAATGATCGGGTCAGGGGCCCATTTCTCGAAGGTCCCGATAACTCTCGAATCCAGATCTTCCGATCCGGAGTTGAGCGCGTTTACATTTGACCACCAGGTCTACAATGAAAGGTTTGACATGGTATCAATCATTTGAGACGAACAGATTTCATTGCATTGTGTTCCAGGTGTGCGGATGCTAGATGGTCAGGCGACGGACGTGTTGGAAGGAAGTTCATTGAGTTTCCAGTCTGAATACATTGACGTCTACAGTAACTGCTGGGGGCCTAAAGATGATGGCAAAACATTTGGAAAACCTGGAAAACTTGCACAAGAGGCTCTTATGCAGGGAGCTCTCAAGGTGAATGATTTTAATCGTTTATAACAATTTAGAATAACTTTATTAGAGGAAATGAAAAAGGAGAAATTGATCCCCACGTTGAGCACAACCCTTGGAATTACAACAAAAAACTATCCAAAATCTTGCACTGAATTTAAACGGAATAGAAATACTCTAGCTAGATGAGGAGTTGATTATCTACCAGTCAAAATATTATGCATATGTAAAATCTGAAGGGGAAAAGAATCTTTTTGCAAAACGGGAAACTCCTTAATTTACAATAAACTAATGAAGGATGCAAATTGTCCTTTATGTCTATATGATCCATAGATGCATACCAGAAAGCATTTGCTGAATTATTCGTTCGTGAATAGGGCTTAAGGAATTGAGACATTTCGATTTTTAATAGCAATCTCAAAATAGAAACGAAGATAGGAAAGGCTGATATTGATAGACCAAAAAAGTCACTAGTCGGCCAGCTCGGACCTGTTCGGTTCTTTATCACTGACCAACTGAATAGAGAGAACATCTTTAAAAATTTAGAGTTTATTCTCAGATTTTGGGTAGTTTCTTTGTCATATTTTGTAAGCTAACCCTCAAAATTATGTTAAATTGTGTTAAATATGCATTTCAATTTATAAACATTCTTAGGGTCGTGGTGGTAAAGGTAACATTTACGTGTGGGCAACTGGCAATGGAGGTCTTACAGACGACGACTGCAACTGTGATGGCTACACAACCAGTATATACACCATATCGGTTGGGTGTATCGGTGATCACGGACTGTCGGCCTACTACACTGAGTTGTGCTCTTCCACGTTAGCTGTCACCTTTAATGGAGGCTCTCACAGGGAGAAAGAGGAAAATAAAATGGTAAGGTTACTAGGCTGATGGTTGCGCTTTAGACCTAGTCATTATTAGATCAGCAAACAGTTACACGTGACGCAGTTATTTTGAGCTATGGACCCACAAGATGGCGCTCATTTCTTTCTTTGTCATAAATGATCCTTCAAAAAGAGGGGCCAGGACTTGCTCTTCTCCATACGGTGAAAAAAACTTTGTTAGACACGTAATACGTCAGATTTCGAAGGGCTAAACACTGTATTTTACGCGCGGAAGAGCAGGTAAATTTTCGTCTTTCTATTCAGACGGTTGTGTTTTGATTAGAAAAGGTTAAACAGTCGGACACCTGTTTACAAAACCATACCGATGATGGCGTCATTAGGAAGGAAGCAACGCATTTGATGGAATTCGTGCCCCAACTAAAATCGTAATGAGGTCGACAGGTCGTAAAGGGTTTTCATCCTGACACAGTAGTGAGAGGAACAATTCTTTCTTTTCGTAAAATTTTCTCTTCTTTTGAATCTTGTCTCAGGTGACAACAGATCTGCATCATAAGTGCACAGAAGAATTTAAAGGCACATCATCTGCCGCTCCTCTGGCTGCAGGAATGTTTGCTCTCGTTTTACAAGCAAAGTATGTTTGCATGACTGCTCATGAGAAATCTAAGGTTACATTTGTATTGTGCATTTGCACCTTTGCGTTTGTGCCTTACGCCAAACAAAACAAACAAACATAAAAAATAAACAGCCCTAAAAGATCAACATGCAGAAATTCAGAATTCATAGCATAACATCGAGGGTCTTCAGCTCAAACAGCTCGTCCACAAAAAAATTTTTTCATGTTCATCAATTTATGGGTCATGCAGACTTTGGGAATTACTTTACCTTTGACTCACGAGGTTTCTCTCTTGCAGCCGGCAAATACCAGCTGTTTAAAAAGACTCTAGATCTATTTCGCGCTTGATAATACGTTTATTTTATTTATCTATTTATTTATTTTATTTTATTTAATCTTTATTTAAACACGATCAATTCATCAGCCTATAAAAATACATATCACATACGCTAAGATATTTAAAATTAAAACTACATACTATAACACTAAAGCTGTTTTCCGTGAATGCCGTGCGTTAGACTTAAAGAATGTCATTGATCTTGCGTTTAAATAACCCCAGAGACTCTGTGTTCCTTATATCGCGTGGTAGACTGTTCCATAATGTGGCGCCGTTGATATGTTGATCTCTTTTCAGCCCAAATCTTTCATGGCGAGATGTCCAGCATCTCGTGGTTGAAACAGCTCAGGTAACGAGTCCTGTTGACGAAGGCTGGATGAAAAATGGTGCAGGTTACCATTTCAATCACAAGTTTGGCTTTGGAAGGTTAGACGCCACTGCCATGGTTAGGAGAGCGAAAACATGGAAGAATACTGCTCCTCAAAGAACATGTCATGGACCTTCCAGTCAGACGCAACAGTAAGAGAGATTTTACTTACTATATGTATCACTACGTTAATTTTTGTTAAGAGGTTGCACTGGGATTTGAATCGAAAGGCTGCCGAAATAATAATTCTGCGAGATTTAAAAATACGAGCACGCCAAAATACAATAAAAATTGAGTAAGGATGGCTGGGAATGGAGAACTTGTAGGCCTTATGCCAATGTTTAAAGATTTATCAGCTGAAACTTTCAGCTACGGCGTAGATCCTTTGATGGGCTGCTTGACATTTACCAACTTGTACTTCATCAGGAATTGAAATCGAAGTGATATGTCCATAACTCTGTAAGAAATTTTCTTTCAGAGAAATTCCCGCTGGCGGAACTCTATCAATCACCATCGACACAATAGCTTGTGACGGTACAGACAAAGAGATCAACAAATTGGAACACGTGACCCTTACCGTCAGCTTTCAGCATCGGCGGCGTGGTGACGTTAGCATCGACCTTTTCTCGCCGAGCGGGACTAGGAATGAAATGTTGTCGACGCGGCGTTATGACGATTCCAAGAACGGTCTCCATGATTGGACTTTCATGACTGTGCACAACTGGGGAGAGAATCCCAAAGGAGTGTGGGTGATGAATGTTACTGATAACATTGCCACCTTAAACAAGGGCGTAGACGTAAATGGATATCTTCAACACGATACCAGTAAACAGGAAGCGGATGTGGAGGATTTGGAGGAGGAGGTAGGTCATAAAATTAAAGGTCCTGTTATTTCGCCTGATGGCTAACCCTGACCATAACGTGTCTAGGTGTACAACTTCCCCCCTATAAAGGGGGCCTCGATCTGAGATCTCGATGTCGATCTCAGGATCCTTCAACCGCTTGGCCGTGAAAGGTCCGGGTTGGAGACTACCAGTGCCTATCTATGGCTCCTTCTGGAGAGTTACACTTAGAGTAAAGTGTCTCGCCCAAGAACAAAACACGATTACCAAGGCTCGAGTCCAACATTCAACAATCCAGAGTCGAGCTAATTTACTAATAATGCCATAAGTCTTCAACTTGTTGGTAAAGTGCTCAAAAAGTCATGGGCTCCTGGTTTTTGACGAAGCTCGCTTTATAAAGAGGTGGGCGGGAAAAAACCAAGCTAAGTATTTCCTGACTGACTGCGGAGGTTTATCGCATTTTAAACGTCCATGTTAGAAATATAAAATCGCTTAAAAACGAAACTTTCATATGACACCCATATACCTTTCATTTTGGTGATACAATTCATGTTATGAACTCTTGCATACATTAGTCATTAGGTGTTTATGATATTTTATGTAAATCACAAACGTAAAGGTTATCGATGACGAAAAGAAAACCCAAGAGCTAGAGGGAAACAAAGGTGGAGGGAAAGGTCTTCAAGACAAAGGCGCCACTTGGGATGCACCTTATCCCGAGGGGGTCAAGAAACATAAAATTCGCATACCTGAAAAACCAGACAGTACGAGGGATACAGAGCGTACGGGAGGTAGGCAGGGCAAAGGAACTGCGCATGCAGAGGAAGAAGATGAAAAAAATAATGGTTGGTATTAATTACGGTAATAGAACCGAGCAGAGTTCAATTCTGTTTGTAATCAAAGGAGTGATAAACAAAATTGGACGACCACGAAGCGGGAATCCGGTTTTTTTTTACGAGTGTGATTACAGACAGAATTGGATGACTCAAAGTCCTGTTACCAGTCAATGAAAACTACGACAAAACTCAAGAATGAAACTAGACATACGTTTTCACAAAAGAAAAAAAAACAAAAACAACAACAGTTAATTCAGCGAAATGCGCGACAAGAGCGCGCGTACATGACGTGTTCTGTCCAGTGACACAGGCATGACGTGTTACTGTCCCTTTAGCTGTCCTACTGCACTGTCGAATTACAAGCATGATATGTACGCTGTCTCATTACTGCTCAAATCGGGCTGGTGATGCTTTTTTTTAATTCCAACAACGGAAAAACTTGTACATTGACATTGAAACCAGCAGACAGCATCTCTGGGACTCCATTTTAGTTCTTATTTAGAAATGTCTAAGAGACTTATTGTTTATCTTCAAAACCACAAGGAGCAAACTCATCATAGTTTACAACAAATACATAATTGTACCTCGATGTTTCAAGCTCGAAACATTTAAATTCAAATTGTGCAATCAGCAGTGCATCAATGATTTCAACGTCCTCCGTATGTCTGCATTTCTAATAACATAAATTATAGGATTTAAGGAGGAGTTGATGTAAATGAGATTTAAGGACAAAACTTGGAAGTGCCCAAAGCCATCTGAGAGCATTGTCTGCAAACCATTTACAATAGAAGGTACTAAGCACAGTACAAGTACAACGATTATCAAGAGCGTGTCGAAAAATGCTTTCTTTTCCCTTCGCAATATAATGGTAGTATTCATCCTCGTGATTACGTCCACCAACTTGTTGTCATGACGACGAATGGCCACGAAACTGCCAATGTAGTTAATGACTGTCAGGATGATGAAGCCTACGCCGAGGATCAAGGCCAACCTAAAATATTTTGGCAACACGAATCGCTCCAGAGTTGTCACCAGAAGCCATGTTATTCCAGCCACAAAGGCTATTAGACTTGCCTCTGTTGATAACAAATCACGTTCTTTTTTTTAAACATTGACCTATTAATCTACAATTAAATATATAAGTTGTTCTTACAAAGGCTTCTGCGAATACACACCAACGCCTCCCGCCCCCCCCCCTTAAGAAGACAAACTAAGAAGAGATCGATTTAGCCCTGTCAACAATTAAGATGGATAAGTGAAATCAAAGCACTGTTTTTATAGGCAAGAAACATTGAAACACATAATTAGCAGACCACATTATTTTAATATCAAGATCCGTAAGAAGTGTTGTAAGAAAACCAGAATTTGTCAGTTTGGATTTGGATTGGATTTCTGGTCCGGGTTGTTCATTGAGTGGATAATGCTATCCCGTGCATTGATAGCGTAGTACGTGATGCTAGCACTTATCCGCTGGATAGCAATTTATCCGTCAGATAGCGTTGTTCACCATGTAAATAACTGGGCTCTGGTTTGAAAGACCTGGTTACTCTAATAAGCGATAGCATATCCGCCTTAAAATTATTTAGAGGCACTAACATGCTTTCCTTGCCCAAGGTTAACAGTACCAAGCATGGTCTTAAGTCATTTCGTTATTTTGCTGCTAAGACTTGGAACGCGCTACCAGCTGCTATACGCGCAAAGGCTGGCACAAGAACATTTCTCCAAGATATTCGTCGCCTAAAATTTTAAGTTTTTAGTTTTTTGATCTCTGTTTTACTACGCATGTATACAAATATATATTTAAATTTGCGATATTCTTTTTGCGATAATATTTTACTTAATGTATATAACTCTTGATTTAGGTTGTAATCTTTTATTGAATATTTTGTTGTGGGCTTCCTGGAAAGTAGCTTGTAGCTAAGTGTGGTGCCATATTAAATAAATAACTACTACTACTACTACCACTACTACTACTACTAGAAACTCACCTTTTTTTGTTACGTTTGCACGGTACTTAAGAGGCTTGGAAAGCCCGTAATGGCGATCAAAACTGATGAGAGTGATATTTACCAAAGACCATCCAACAAAAGCAATTTGACTCGTGTTATAGGCTATAAAAATGGTGGACTCTTGGACACAAGACTCGTGGATGCGATAAATCATCAAACTCCTTAAAACAAATAGCGGCTGGGCCACCAAACCTGTCAAACAATCAGCAGCAGCCAGACCACACAGCAGAATAGTGCTCGGTCTTTGCAAGGATGGTGTCTTTACAACAGCGATAATGATGGCCAGATTTCCAAGAAAGGCGAAGATGCAGCAAGGTACGTTGACGATACAAAGAATCATGTCATTTATGAGGACAGCGGTGTCGTTAGTGGGGAATAGAGACACCACGGGACTGCTGCAGATAATACTTGCAGTTTCGTTTTCAGCCATTGGTAGCTGGTGAAAAGTCGAAGATTGATGTTTGGGTAAGGATTATGGCGTATGTAATGTAGATAGTATGAGATGTTGTAGTCAGTTACGTATGATAAAGTCATTTGTTTATGTTAAATGTTTAGTTACTATTTGTATTCAAAGCGGTACGAATTCGAGGTTATGCGCTATCGCGAATTGTGACCTTCGTGTCTAACTTCCAGTGGACATGCTTAGTTTGTCTACTGACACACTTGGGAACAAATGATTTCTTTAGAACTACTCTGTGTGCACCGTTGTGAATAGAAAAATGTTTTCATTAATTTTTTGGTCCGGTGAAGCAATGAACAATGGTCAGGTTACACAGCAGTTTATTCTTCAATTCAGTCTTTGTTATGTTTGTATAGAACAGTTGTCCTGATAACAGCTGTAACAACTACCAGATTTCCGAAAAAGGCGACAATGAGGAAAGGAACATTAACTGAGAAAATAAGGACTTTTTTTTAGATGGCGGTGTGTTCCTTCTTGAGTTATGCATTTTTTTTTTTTGAACCACAAATCGAATCATTTCTCTTCGAGACATTCAAAACATTTAAAAGCACAATGAAATTTTCTGTACTAATTTTATTCATAATGTTCGGTGATAAAACACATGATTGTTTTCCACTTTATACGTCGATCCAAATCACTTTTGAGGAATCCAAAACATCTAAGTCTTTGAATCTAGAAGGTCTTCACCATTTGAACATGATACTTCTTAGGAAATGAAATCCCAAAAATTTTATGTAAGGGGCGGGGGGGGCAAGGTCTGATAAATTGTATTAGATGCGTTGCACGGAGCACGGAATTTGGAAAATCAGCATTTCACTCGGATTGTTACTCAGATAAAACTTTCACTGACTCTACTTTTTTTCATAATACTCACCTAAATTGTGAAGTAGCGATTTCTGAAGCTCCAGTTGGTTTGCTTTCATCCGAAGAGACTCAGTTGCAGTCCTCGTAAACTA